GTTGCCCCCCGTACAAACAATAACTCCTCCACAAGTAAAGGAATAACGGGATCCTTTGACTTCCGCGTTCCCCTTTCGTCCCGTCTTCTGTATTCGCCTTCAGACGGCGCAAAAAAAAAAATTTTCCTTCCTTCGGAGGAAAAAATCTTTCCCTCTTTTGGGAGAATCCGCAACGTGGAAGAATCCGTTAGAGAGCGGTGAAAGAAAGCTTCTTTTCTTCTTCGTCTTCCATCCCCGAACCCGCTTCTTTCTCTTATTTTTTTTTTAAATCGTGATTTGGTTTGAAATAGCTCGCTGGAGGACTAGCAGTACCGTTCCCGATCCCGGTTCACCGAAAACCCATAAGCTATCGACTCTCCTTCACTCACGACGAGCGAGAGTGGCGGCGTATTCAAGGTTCGTCTACATCTCTCGACTATCGACCTGTTTATCTATACGACCTGGCAGATATCCTCTTTTTACATCCCTGGGGGTCATTCCCAGCTACTGGGTATTCATTTCGATCGTGGAATTTCTGAATCGGTAACGAAGAATACATGTGAAAATAAGGGCTTCGACGAGCACTCGCAGCGGTACCGTCAACTCGTACGCACCCGATGATTATTCCTCGGGAGCGTCATGTTATCGGGAGCCAGGCAGACGGAACCGGTTCCCTTTGTTCGCCGAAGGACGTCGGGCTTTCCACGTGAACGTTTCCCAACGATTCCGCTTTTATCGTCTCCGTCTCTATCGTCATCGGCCGACGCACGTGGACGGGGAAAGGGAGAGAGAAGAAAGGACTGGACCGTACAGGCCTTCGAGATTCAAGGTCGAAGTCGAGATGCGAAGAGAATTCTCACCGACGAGTCGAGAAGGAGGCTTCCCCACGGGACGAAGGGAGACATAGACATCCGCAGTAGACACGAGCGAGCTGCATCCTGACGATACCGAACGAGCCTTCCCACTCGTCACCCACGTTTCGGAAAGAGAGAAACGTCGAAAAAAGGTCTGTCACGAGGAATCATCGGAATTTTAACTGGATGCAGTTGTAAACGCTGTTTATAGCGAGCTGCAGAGATGGAGAAAGAGTGCCAATTCGTGCCACGGGGAAATGCCATACATGTGACGAAAGAAGTCGAGAAGTGTGCAGGCTTCGATCGGTGCCCCTGGACAACAGCCATCCTTATCCTTCACCCCAATAGAAACCCCAAC